AGTAGTACAGTAGTAGTACAGTAGTAGTACAGTAGTAGTACAGTAGTGGTAGTAGTAGTAGTAGTAGTAGTAGTAGTAGCAATACGAAAATTGACCTGGTTGTGGGCTCGGATTAACTGGCGGGGATTGTTGGTAGAAAAGTAGACCATAGGGGGGGAAATCAACAGCGAATAATGCTTTTAATTTAGGCAATTTTTGGCGGCTTTGTGGGCTCGGGTTAACTAGGGGGGATTGATTAATCCTAACTTGACATTAATCTTCAAAAGAAGAAAATAAGTGAACCTTCTGGACAAGTAGCAACTCCAGAGCTGGCTCGCACTGCGTCCGCTTGGAGTTGGCTGGTCATGCGGGCCTGTGATGCAACGCTCAATTCATATCATTCATCTGTCAGGCATTTGAAGATCTTCTCGCAGGCACAAGCTTGGGACGATACATCATAAGATCTAAGGGAACCCTTCCTAAACCCTGAAGCAGCCATCACTAAATCTGCCAATCCTAGGATATCCTAGGTAAGCATGGGTAGCGTGAGCTGTAAGGTCAAGGGAACAGCATGATGCCAAAGAAGGATCCGGTATGCGGCCAAAGTCATCTGGCAGCCTGGCCAATGGCCAAGGTGTATTTTGCTGGTGGGGTCTGGACGTCACGTTGTCCCACTTCAAGCGGCGAGGAAAAGGATCAATGATTTTCTCATGCGCTACAAATGGAGGATGTGTTGACGCCGGGCAAGGGGCATGTCATGGCATGTACGACCAGGGCGAATCAATAACTATAGGTATATAAAACTGAATACACATGAATATAAATGATAGGTATTTAATGGTATTTAGTGAAGCAAGCTGTCCGGATGGAAATGGCCAAGCCCTCCGAGAAATGTTCTTCAGATAGTGAATTTGTGCGTGATGATGATCAAATGTGAGTGCGGTGATGTGATGCGTGATGATTTGCGTGATGTGTGGTAGCGGAAGTTTGATGCGGGATTGCTGGCTGAAGCTTCGTGTTGAGATGCAAGGCGGGTTGTGAGTTTGCTGAGAATTTAGCAAGCTCATGAGGTTCAGTGGGTTATCGGAGCTTTGAACTGTGAATGACAGTGAGGCAAGTGACTGAGCTTTGAGCCGGCTAAGTGGGGCCACAGTTGAGCTGTCATCACATTGATCATATTGTGCAGCCACAGTTGCATTCACACAGTTTCATTTACGTCGTGATCTTCTATCCACCTGACCACATAACTTATTCAAACAATTCCAAACACCATTGGTACTCAAAGACATTGGGGTCTCGGGCCTCCTCTGCCTGTGTGGCACTTCTTGCTTTGTGGACTTTGTGGGCCAACCCAACATGGAGCCACACGAGTCAACGAGTGAGGGACTGTCGGACTTTCCACGGTACTGGGTCCACAAATCAAGTGAGCTCTGCACAAACGTGCAATTGAAAGATGGATCTTGTCCTTGCAGTGCTGATAAAGCAATCACCCTCTCTACTGGACTGCTCAACCCGGACCTCCATGCCACTTTCCGCATCGCTGTTGGTGCAGCATGCATTTCCCATGGTAAGGCAAAACTGCAAATGAACAGAACAGAATATGAAACGATGAGATAAGCTGCAATAGGTTCGAGTTCCTGTTCCCAATGCTGGTGAAGCAGCTGTTGTGAAATGCAAATGTTTACTGGATTGGGGATCGAGCCTTAAATGGCGACCATTTCTGTAAATGTTCTGGCACCAACACATACAAAAAGAGATTAGACCTTACACATTCATGTCAACCAAAGCATGAAAGTTGCGACACTTCTTCCATGTGCCTTTGTAGCAAGAACTTCATGGTATGCAAATAGTGATTGCAGCAAGTGCACAGCGCATGTGTACACTTCGCAGCCACAACGCGTTTTGCTTGCAAGCTGTGTCTAGGTTTAGTTGCAGGAACTGGATGTCCACTTCGCGCAAAGTGAGTGTACTTGTTTACCATTGTTTACCCCGTATGACAAACAACAGCAATCGGCAAAAAGCATCTGAGTCTAGCTCGCACATTCAACATCATTTTATAGCCAGTCAGGGCTCAGGGCTCTCATTTGTGTCTTGTTCCTGAGAACCCCTCCGGCCATCTTGAAGTTCAGAAAAATCCAACAAGCGCTCGACCATTTCTCACCTGACTGACCTGCACAAAGTCAAAAGCCACCCAGCTCCAATTGCTTCAAATGCACTGTCTTATGGAAAGCGATGGGAGCGCTCCAACCAAAAACAATCAAGGCGTCAATCGAGCGATGCTTCAGGTATTCGAACCAGTTGGGAGCATGAGGACTTTGAGGGTTCAAACGACCGAAGGGCACACATTATGATGACAATGAAAAAAACTATTTGCTTCACATAATTTCAGGATTTTCTTCTTTGCCTGTTTTTCTTGGATCTCTTGTTCAACTGACCCCATCATGTACACAGTGTGCACTGATACACTTCACAGAATAACAAAAACAACCATATCATCGCAGCACACTTTGCCAAACAGACCCACAAAATCTGACCACACAAGTCAGCACATTGCCTTGCCACAAATAACCACATTCACCGCACTGCGCCACACAAATCCCCACATTGCACTTTACCACACCACAAAGCACCATACCACAAATCATTTCACATCACATTACAACATCACAGCTCACAGCATCTCACCTGTCACCACGCCAACAATCACATCAGCCCAACAAAAAGCATTTATCCTTCCTGAAACGTTTGCCTCTCGGTTCCGCGGGAAATTACTTGATAGCAAACAACATTGAACTGACACATCCCATTGGTTGCTTTCACTCAGCTTAAATGGATGAAACCTCAAGGCCCCCCCTTGCGTGACTCTTTCTGCTAGGGATGGGCGAGGAAACAACAACATCTGATATTGGTTGTAGTTGTGCTACAATCGTGTTGTCAACCCTGACCATAGACTTGACTTTGCCCATCGAATCTTGAAATGAGTATTCAAGCAGCAACAACTGCTGAAACGCGTTGAAACCCTTTTGCATTACCGGTCAAAGTCTATTCAGCAGTTTTTTGGTACAGTAATTGATGCTTCGACGGCCCGAACGAATTGAAAACATGTTCAAAGCAAGCGTGTCCAACTTGTTCCAAGTGGGTCCGACAGTAAGAAATAACAAATTGTTAGTCTTGTTGCCAGCCTTCATACCTGGTTAGCAGCACATTGTTTCTTCACAAAGTCGACCAGGACGCTCTGCACCTTGGGGCCCTTCGACAGCCTCGGATGAAGAAAGGCCCAGCTTTAGAGCCTTCACCAAAAACCATCAAAACCCATCAATTTGGAACACGTGGTGTGCCACGGTGTCATGTATGGTTTGAGTGGTCTGGGAGTGGTCCGAGTGGTTCATGAATGTCGACAGCAGCAACTATCAGTCTATCAGTGTTTTCTGAAAAATAACACTGTTAGAAAAGAACAGGCACTGTAAAAATTTTGACAGAATACCCACATGAAGCAAACACATGAAATGCTCTCACCTTATTGAAAGCCAAGGGCTCTCTATAGAATCGCTTTGGCTTGATCTGCATCAAAATTGAGTCATGGTTGCTTCTTCATGAAACCCAATTGGTCTGTGATCCGCCACTCCCGCCCATCATTTCACCTCCAGCGCCTCAAAAACCATGGTGGATTGGATGGGCATCTGAAGCTGATGCTGCTCCGCCTACATCTGAATCGCCATTCTCGATCCAATATCCACTCTTTCCTGGAATAAAACCCAGATAGTCAGTGAACCACTGCCATGCGCGTCCACCAGCTCACAATGCCATGGACTTCTCTGTTGGGCACAGCTCTGAATCTCTATGGCGTTTCATGCTCGCTAACTTTCGGCCTAAAACCAAACGTCTTTCACCCCGAGTCTTCTTTGACCCCAGGTGGTCGTAGCTACGTGGCTTCCTTGGTGGGTTTGGGCTCCTAACCTTGTATAATGTTACAAGTTACATGTTCATCTGCAAAAAGACCTTGTGTGAAATATGTGTCTGTTGTGGTCATCCCTTGCCTGGTATGATGATGATTATTGATTATTGCCATGACCAGCTTCCTGACTTCAATGTAAATCCATAAGTATATAGCAACACACGAGCACAATGTCAGCTCCTCAACAATTGCTGGGTGGAAACCAACTTGATCTGGCTCTGGATCCAAATCTGCACTTTTTGCAGTCATGGGCAATTGATCCTATTTCCATCATTGTCTAATGATTGATAGATAGGTGGTTTCCTTGCGAAGTCCAATAATTACTGCCGCACAAGCCTCAAACAACACATGCAAAAGAACATTCCCAAACATCAAATCGAAAGTCAGCTGAAAACAAAGTAAACACATACTCTTATTTTGAGGGGTGTTCCAGGGGTATCACATATAAATTATGCCAGCATAGACCCCAAACAGCTTCAGCGTGGCCAGAGGACAACAGGAGGACAAGAGACAAGACGAAGACACGAGGAGGACAAGAGAAGGACACGAGGAGGACAAGAGGCGGACAAGAGGAGGACAAGAGAAGGACAAGACGAAGACACGAGGAGGACAAGAGAAGGACACGAGGAGGACAAGAGGAGGACAAGAGGAGGACAAGAGAAGGACAAGAGAAGGACACGAGGAGGACAAGAGGAAGACAAGAGGAGGACAGGAGAATGAGAAGAGGAGGACAAGGGAAGGACAAGAGGAGGACAAGAG